AATTAAAAGAAATCGGATTAAGACCGCATACAGCATTTAGTTGTGTTTTAGATTATTTATTTAGACCAGTTGCACCAGCATTATCATTTATCACTGAATATTCAGCTTTATTTGCACTTCCTTCTATTTTTTCTGTTGGCATTCATATTCGAACTGGTAACACTTTTGAGCAAGATCATTTATTACAAGATTATAGTCATTTCTTTAGATGTGCTGAACAACTTAGAGAAACTTATGCAGCACCAGATCAAAAAGGTATTTATTATCTTGTCACGGATTCTAATAAACTAAGAGAATCCTATACAAAACTTGAAAATGTTATAATTTCTGGATTACCAATTAATACTGGGCATAGTAACTATGATCACCCAGATGATGTAAATAATGCCATAATTGAAAATTGGATCCTAGGCAAAACAGATTTTCGAGTATGTATGCTTGTATGTTTATTTAGTTATATCGATAAAGTGATGATTAAGCATGAATTTTTTAATAATAGGTAATATCACAAGGCGGTATTGGTAAATTGGCAGCTTTTCATTCAAAACAGCTTCATTCTACCGTATTATTACCTCCAATAGAAACAAATTTTGTAGATTGTACACGTGAGGTAAAACAAGGCATATTCATTACATGAAAATTCTCATCATTATTTTATTGATTGATTTTCTTTTAAAAAAAAATATAGGACGCGTTTACTACTTTTAATCAATTGGCTAATGCATAAAATAAAGTATTCTATTTATTCTATTTATTATGAACTATTTATAATTTATTTTATATATACATAAATGTTATTTAATTTTTTTGTTATATTTGACTTTTTATTTTATGATAATAGAAAAATAATAATTGAATTGGTTTTTTTTAAAGTTATGTACAAGATTTTAGGAACAGGCGCAGTTAACTATGTAATAAAACGCGTCAAATTTTGAATGAAATAATGTAAATTTTTTTAAAAAGATTTTTTGTTTTATTAATACCCCCCAAAAAAATAAAGATTTCTTTATAATCTCAAAGAATTTATTGGTTTTTTAATACAGTAATAATCCTCAAAAAATTTTTAATTTAAACAATGTTAGATAAGGAGAACTTTCCCTTCTTGATTAATAAAAATAATAATGTAAATAATAATATTCACCAAAAAATTAACGCTCAACTGGAAAACATTTCGAGAATCCAAGCTCAACAGTATTATAATCCTTCTTCAGTTCCTTCAGTATCAAATGAAACAATAACTGGTAGATTTTTGATAAATAACAGTAGCATTTCTAATCTTAATCTTATTGACATTGTCAATCTTGGTAAACTTTCTAACAATGTAAGTAGTAGTTTTATAATCTACTAATGATATTGTTATCTTTGAAACATAAAAATAAAATTTTTTATTTATTTTATTAAAGAATACGGAAAATTGTGCAACTATTCCTAACAAAATATTAAATATCACTTCAAAAGGGACAATAATATTGGAAGATATTCATTTCCCTATTGAGGTGATTATCTGATTACTCAATGTTAACTATATATTAGATATTGATTTTTTATAATTTTCTGCCTTTTTATTTAGACCAATATTAGTATATATAATAACAATTCACAAGAAAAACAAAATGTTAAAGAAACAAAGACACCATTTGGTAATGATTTTTTTCAAAATCGGAATGTTTGTGATGAACTGAATAATAATAGTCATGACATTTTAAATCACAATAATAAGGTATTTACTTTTAATATTAATTGATATTATTCATTTTTAGAATTAAATTTAATTAACAGGAAAAAATTTTTTATCAAACAATATTTTTAAAAGAGAAACTTTTCAGATTTAGATTTTAACAATTCATCATCTGATCCAACCATTAAACCGCCGTTTACATACGCATCATTGATAGGTCAAGCTATCTTATCTTGTTCAAGTAAAAAAATGACATTAGGTGAAATTTATACATGGATAACGTATCGATACCCATACTATAAGAAGGATCATAAAGGCTGGATGGTAATTTAATCATGAAACTAATGATGTATTACGTGTATATATATATTGGCCAAGAATAAAATAATAAATTTTACAACTATTTTATTTAAAAAAATAATAGAATTCAATTAGACATAATCTTTCATTGCATAGTGTATTTGTAAAAGAATCAAATGTCAGAAATGGTAGAAAAGGCGGTTATTGGACTATACTACCAGAATTTCGAGACTGTTTTGTAAATGGTATCTATCGACATGAAAAGATGTCTACATATAAAAAACAAGCTATAAAAGCTGAAAAGGAACCATCTGAAAAAAAATCACCTGAAAATAACAAAACAATAATAGTAACAGAATCACAACAAACTCAACCACACGTATCTCAGAATGATATTGACAATATATTGCCAATTGAATCATTAGTAGGGCCGATAGATCCATTCCAATTAGTAGCAGAATCACAACAAACACATACATACATGTCTCAAAATGAAGTTAATGACTTGTCATCAATTGAGAATAACATTGAATCATTAATAGGATCAATCGATACATTCCCATTCGATGCAAGTAACATTGATGAAGACCTTATTGCTTGTGTTAATGCTACCGATAATGTGGATTTAGCAGATTGGAAATCTATTTGTGACATTATTTCAAATTTACCTAATATAGATGACAATTAAATAATTAAGGTACGAGTAAATCATTGAAAACCTCTCTTTGTTTACAGTTGTTGAAGATTAGGAAATTTATTAGAAACATTTTTATTCTATTACTATTATTAACTATTGGCTAATTTCTATTAGCCATTAGCATTCGTTAATTGCTAATAATTAATGGCTATTTGATCAAATAAATTTGATTGTTAATTTCAATCCTAATGATTTTTTTTCAATTTTTAATTATCTACATTCAACTACACCAAGCTCTTTAGTATATTATGTTCCTATCAAACTGTTTACAAGATATTGCCCTTTTTTTTATATATATTTAGTATGAATCGACTTTAGAAACAATCTACTACTACTTTTGGCTTAATTGAATTGAACTTCCTTTATTTTCACTTTATAAAAAACTACACCAAGAAATTAATAAAAGGATACGTTTCGTCTGTAGCCTACTCTCGAAGAACTGAGGAACAACCCATTAGAAAATAATAATTATAATAAATAATAATAAATTTATATATTTATAAAAATAAAATAATGTATAACGTATAATTTGAAATTATACTCGGATCAAATTATCCACCTCCAGGCCTGGTAGCAAATATTGAGGCTTCTATTTCTTTTCTGTGATATTGGAAATTTTCTTGTAATAATTTCCTGAATAAAATATTCTATCTGGTCTTATTTATCACGAAAAAAATAAATTATCAAATTATTATTCTTATAATTATCTTACCAGTTAATCGAATACTATAAGCATCACCAGTTAGACATACACATTAACCAATTCGTCTAATGCTTCGGAAGGACAATTAAATAAATATTTATAACTTTGATGACTTTGATTCGTCAATTCACTCAATATTTCAATAAATTCTCGATCATAATTTCAGTATTCTCAATGCCTCTTCAAACACACGTTTTGATCCTTTATATAATTAGAACTTTTCAACTTGAAATTTATAATTGTAATTCTCAATTGTACAACCACTTTACTTTTCATAGACTTGGTCAAGATATTTATTGAAGTTAATCGCTGACATTCCGTAATGTCCATAGTTAAAAATATCAAAAAACTCAGTTTGTGCGAAAATTTTATTTGTTTCAATTTTATTATTACAAATTTTTTGTTCCTTTAGCAAATGCTTTTTACATTATGCATTGCAAGTACGACGGCATTTCCAAAACGTACCGAGTTATCTGGGAAAGACGCCCTAGTCTCTTCCTATTTATATCATCTAGATTAACATACTTTTGTTTGGCGAAATCATAGATGGAACAACAAAGTAGAACTCGTAAAGGTCACGGCTTGTTCCAATATTCATAACTTTTTCAAAACCATGTGCTTTAATCGGGTGATTGCTCGATACTGTCATTTGAAAAAGCGTGTTGAAATTGACCCGATATGAAAAGCATCGATGGCATATAATGTTTTCGATTTTGGTTGGCAGTATTTCCCTTTGTGTTCAGTTCAATTAATATTCGAAATGCTTCTGGAACTCTTTTCCATCTTTCAAGGTTCTGGAAGGAATTTAACTGATGATAATCACAGTGAATTTAGCGAATTTTCCGTCAGAATTTGTCTCATATTAATATTAATATAGGGTTATTCTATTCCACCATGCAAGGAAATATTGAGCCTGAAGTAATTTTCAATACCAATAAACAAATGTTACATATTGAATTGTTTTTGGTGTTTCCAAATTGTCTAATAACAGTTTTCCCATATTCAATAGTTACGTTGCCTTTTCTATTTAACATTAATAATAATTATGCAAACAAATATACCAATCGTCTATTGTTATTATGATAAAGAATTTTATGGAGGTTAATATGATTACCTATATAATGTAGAAGACGTCACTCCACATTTTGATTTTAAAACTTCGCGTGAGCTGACTCGCAAGGAGCTTTAATTAAAATACTTCCAGATATTAACTAATAAAATAAATAACATCTTCTTCAGGACTATACTTCTAATATGTTTATTAATGAAACCACTTTTGATTTCTGAAATATTCCTATTTCTATTTCGGATTTTAGTATGAAATTTTCGGGAAAATGTTATAGGAATTATAGAATGTATTTTTCAGGGAATTTTCCGTACATTCTGATTTTTTTGCACTGAATATTAATATTAATACACAATATCAACTTTAAATTTATCTGATGAATTATTAATTATATGTAAATGGGGGTTTACAGGATATCAAGTTGATACAATTATTATTTATTATTTAAACAAACTAGCTGATTCAACAGGGGAGGAAACATGTCTGAATTTATAAATAAATTAAAAGAAATTCTAATATTAAAAAAATCAATAAGAAAATGTTTACATCTAAATAATTAATATGGAATTCCTATAAGGGGAGGTATTAAAAAAAGGTTAGGCAAAATTTCAATATTTATTCACTTTTTTTTCATAGATTATTAATAACTTACCATTCGTGGCTTTCTGGAAACTATCATACCAAACTGTTCTTTTATTTCCAAATGATTGATTGATCTTTTCAATCATAAAATCTGCAGCACGACGCTCATTTCGATCCAATTGGAATCTATCACATAATCTTTTTAATGTTTCACCTCTAAAACAAGGGAGTCCTGAGCTAAGCATTAAGCCAACACACTGCATTATCTGTTCAGCATATGGTCTGTAAATAATGAATTAACAAAAATATTGTTAAATTGTGAGAAATTAAAAAAGAATATAACAAAAATTATTAAGTAAAAAATATTTGACCTTGATGACAAATATGCTTTAATACATAATTCAGAAAACCATTTAAATGGTTGTTCTTCTGTACCACCACCCATTACTTGGATCATTTCTGTTGTAAGTTTAAATGGTGAACTTTCAAATGTAATACCACCTGGTGCAATGTCAAGGATAAATCCAAAATCTTTTCTCAAAAAAAAAAAAAGATTTAACTTCAATTATCTTAAATTAAAAAATTATAATTTACCAATCAGAATCAGCTACCACTTACCAATATGTATTATATGACCTTCATCATCTAACATTATATTTCCGTTATGGCGATCTTTAATCTGCAAAAGAAATGAAACAACAGAATAGGCTGCTGCACTTTGGATAAAACAATTTCTTGCCTATTAAAATTTAATTAGTAATGTTAAACATGTGATATTATTCTCAAACATATTTAATAAGCCTAACTACCTTTTGAAATGAAATAGAGTCTAAACCACCATATCGAGTAAGGAAATAACTATTTATTAAAGGTTGTAAGTATCTAAAGGTAAAATATCATTTATTTATATTGTATAATTGATTGATAAAAAGAAAAACTTACTCATAAAGGCTATTAACCTTTTCTCGACCTAATTGATCTCTTGATATTGAGTTAGGTATAACATCAATAACTCCACACTAAAAATAATTTCAATATTTTTTAATACAATGAAAAAAAGTTTAATTTTATAAAAAAACCCATATAATAATAACTTATTTACCCCTGGAGCTGTTGCAACAACTCTGTATGGAAAAAGATATAAATCTAGTCCTACACTTGTAAATATGTTTTTAAATATGGCTATTAACTGTAAAGCCAACACATCTTGTCTACAATCATCACCAACTTTAAAAATGGCCGATTGCCAGACATCTATTGTTTGTTCTTCATTTTTGCTATCAGTATGAATTAATGCTTCCTTAACTTCCTCAGAATCATGTCTTGTTTTTCTGATTTTGAATGTTGCCATAAACGGTGCCTATACAAGATATAATATATTTATTTAAATATTTAATTTGAAAATAATGTTAATTCAAAAATTTTGAAAATTGTCTTAACCTTTGCATGACTTTGCAATGGTCGTCCTGATGTGTAATCAATATCAATTACTTTTCCTTCTGGATTACTTGGTAAATATACACCTACGTCTACCTTAATCTTGGCCATTTCTTCATCAATCTTTTTCTAAAATAAAAAAAGTTTATAAGTCATAATTAAATATAATTAAATTGATACAGTTGAAATTACCTTTTTTTCGGGCTTGGATTTTTTAATAAATGGTTTTAATTTCCCTGATATTGATGTTACATTATTGAAGAAAGTAAATTCACGTTCATAAAATTCTTTATCTTTACCAGATAAAGAATCAGTAATGTTTTTTATAATACGTTCTAATGTTGGTTTTATTGAATCTGGCTATAATTTAGTAAATAAATATTAATATAGTATAAGAGAATATATATATGTCTGTAAAATATATTAATTCAAAACTTAACAATATTTGATTCATCGTCTTTATACATGTTTGCATTCATGTTCCAAATTATTTGATGTGCAAACAATTGTGATATTTTTGCAGCTCCCAATATAAACCTCTCAACATACCCTGATGTATATTTAAAATTATATTTGTCTTATCATGAAAAAGAAATTAATCTAGTTAATAATTAATTAAAAAAGAACTAACCTAAAAAATCATTTCGTAATGCTTGTACAATTTGTGGTATATAAAAAAATACTACATCAACTGGATGATACTCTAAAGCCCGCATTGCATATTGCAATATTAAGGGATTATTGTTAAAAGCAGGTGAAAAATATGTGATTGCCGTAATTGGGGGAACAGGTGCCCAATATAATAAGTACTATTTGTAATTTTTATAAAAATCATATTAAGATATTTCCTATTATAAATTTTTTTTTAAAAAAATCTTATTTCAACTTACTTTTAATTGTGGTAGAACATTCTGGTTCAATTTATCACCAAGCAATAAAGGCAATGCTTCAGATATATTGACTGCTTCAATAATTTTACTTGCCATTATCTTTTGTAATTCTGATTGAATCACAACTTGCTTGAAACGATTGGCCAATTGGATCGCTAATCGTGGTGAAATTGACCATGCATGTTGGACAACACCTTGCCAAGAATCCTTAAATAATTCAGTAATAATATAATTGTTATTATTATTATTCAATTAAATGCTAAAAATTTAAATTTTCATAAATAAAATTTTAATGTATTTAATAAATACGTCTGAAAGAACATTAGGTGAAATTGATTCTTTATTAGTGCTTGGAATATTTAATGGATTTATCCAAGTTGCAAAATTAGCAATTTCACTTTCAAGCAGTACAAGTAAAAGTTTCTTAGATTTTGAAAATATTTTCAGTATTTCATCTTTAGTTTTGTCTGTAAAAATAAATGGTATAAGTAATAAAATTACAAAAATACTCAATAATCAACATCAACAATTCAAAATAATCTACTTGATCTTATTAATCAAAAAAATCATATAATCTTACCACCATTTACTATCAGAGAGGTTGAGATATTTGATAAATTGTATTGTAAATATTTTTTTGGTATAGCTGATAAAATTTCATTTAATTCAGGTTTATCAATCTCCACCAATTTGTATAATTCAATTAAAAGTTTATATTCTATAATCATGCATCTTTTATTACCACCATAAGGCCATCTATTTTTTTTTTAGTAAAAATTTTTTATTTAACAAAAATTTATTTAATATAAATATCATTAAGATCAACAAACCTTGGTGGCAAAGAAAACCAATTAAAAGCTGAACCAAAAAGGCTTCTACGAAAAATATATTCAGTTGATGCCTCCAATTGATGAGATTGTATTAATTTAAACCCGTTAATAAGAATTTGTAGTCTTCCTTCAAGTGATAGAGTATGATTGCTATTATAACAAAGTAAATTAGTACTTTTTTATATTATTATCAATACCCAAACACAAAACAATAGATAATTACCTCAAAGTGCTGGATGCATTTAATGTTTTTAGAAAAAGTCTGATATAAAGCTGTACTAATTCAGTACTTCTATAATGAAAGGCTTGGAAACGATCAGCCAAGAAATTTATCCAGATAAGATGTGGACTGAATAAATTCCTTGCAATTTTATTGGTTTTTTCCTGTGTGGCCTTGTCAGAAGGTGCATATTGCATTTTATTTACAAATGGACCCCTTACACTATATAATATATATAAATATATATATAAATATATATATAATGATGACTAATATAATAAGTTAAAATCTACAAATATTTTACTTTATTAAAGGAGAAAATAATCCTTTGTGATGTTTCATTGCCCAAACCCATCCATTCATAATTTCTACCATGATTTTTTTCTCGAAAGATGATCTCTCATTAATTACCCAACTCCAGACAGATTTAGCAAGTTTAAGAGAATCAGGTGTGAAAATATATATAGGAATCCAAATTAAATAATGAATAAGATCTTCATCTGCCTGTAATTTATATATATATATAAAATTAGCGAATAATTTTTAGATTAACAGCAAAATTTCTTATAATCAATTGACCTTTGGTAATTCAATAATTATATTGGAAGCTAAATGCATCAAATGATTTAGTTCCTTCAAAGAAACATGTGCACCATCATTAATTTTTTTTTCAAGGTTAGCCAATGAATTCTTTATCTTTTGACTCTGTTTTTCCAAAACATTTTCTACAATCTTAATGGGTAATTTTTCAAGATTTTCACCTGTAAATTTCCGGCATTTAAAGTCATAGAATTATATTGCTGTTTTATAATCAAAAAATGATTTAATAATTATTATCATTCAAAATATTACCTTCATTTGCTTGTAATGTCAACCAATGTTGTGCACCTATTATTTGCCCAGAATAATATCGTTGAGAAGTATAATCTTTCATAAACTCAGATATATTGTCTGTAGCTGTATTCAGAACATAAGGAAATATTTCTGTAATAAATTACAAGAATTAATCAAATATATAGATAAAATAAATGAAAGTGTACAAAAATGCTTCATACCACGATCAGCCTTTGAAGACGTTTTTGCAACATCAATTGCAATTGATCTACCCATGTGTACCACATTTTCCGAGTAGCATAGATCTACTTCTGCAAGATAATCCTGCCATTCCAAAAAAAAAATTATATTAGATAATTCGTGTAGGTTAATATTGAAAATAATAATAATATTACCTGAAGTAATATTCTAATTTCTGACGGTGTTTGCATCATTGCCAATAAAATCCATTTTCTGCCATATTCACATAAACTAGATAACATTTCTCTTCGATAATTATAAGAATCAGGGATGTCAAGTGTCACTCCAACCTTTGGAGATGAAAACTTGTATTCTGGTGAATACTTTATGATTATCAAATTATTCAAATCTTTAATAAGGTTGAACACAAAAATATCAAAGTAGGAAAAAAAATAATAGTTCATACTACCTCACTTGTATATTCATTCTCACAACTTTGCCAGATTAATTCAACTAATTCCAACAATAAATATAATAACTTTTTGTTGCATAATAAAGAAGGAAGCTCAATAATCAGCTTGTCAAGTTGTTTAACAGCCAGTTGATGAACCTTACTGAGACGATGACAAATTACAATCATTAGGTTACGAACTTGTGTGTATACATTCTCATTGATTGTATGCGAAATTACTCTTTTGGAACATTCATTAATAAAGACATCCATTACCTTTATAATATAAAGATTATTTAATAATTTTGTATGAATATTTATTAACACATACAAAAATTAAAGTGATTACTTGGTTTCCAATTTCTTCCATACAACCAACCAACTTGCTTGTATTCACTCCTTGATTAACAAGATATCTGTGAATAAAAGAACATTGACCTGATTGGCTTCTCATTATTTCTATATGATATACTGAAAGCAAAAAAGTGATTTCTGCAAAGGAAAAATATTTTATTTCAGAAGCATGGTTTGGAAGATAGGATGATAGTGATGAACGTAGATTTGCAAGATCCTATTTTAGGATTTAAATAAGTTGATAAAATCAAGAAATTAAATATTGATTATGGTATTTACTCAAAGATAATACATACCTGGTCAGAATTTCCACGACGTAATACTGAGTTATATTCTAAATCACTTTCAAGATAATTTGTTGCACCTTCTTGGACCAATGGTGGTGTTTTTTGTGCAATTAGAACCAAGGAATCACGCCATTCACGTATCCATGCATCAGCTTCTGAAACAAAGCCATATAAGACACAGTGAAACCACAAATTTCGGAAAAGTTCAACCAATTCTTTAGAAACATTCAAATGCACTTTGAAGTCATCATGTGATAGTAGAGTTTTAAGTACAGGAAGTAGAATTCCAATTTCTCCTGCTAAAGAAGTAATCTATTAAAAATAATAAATTAATTTAATAAAATGAAAAAATCTAAATTAACTGTTAACATAATACTTTATATAAATATATTTGTCTACTTAATCAGTCACCTGAAATCTACCATTTTTTGCAATGATCTGTTGAATCACTACACCTTTATCAACAAATAATGTTAAAATTTTATTTAAAAATATTCTATAGAATTCAGGACGTGACTTTATTCTACTAGCTAAATCCATTTGACATTTAAGGACCTATGGTAACAATAGATTTAAGAAAACTGAAAATTGAAAATATCTTTTATCAGATAAAACTAAAAATAAATTCTACATACTGCAGTAGTAACCATTTTGTTTTCAGGAGAAAGAGATTCATGACTAATATCATTAAATTTTCTTACAATTTCAGTAAAAATTTTTTCAGATGATATTAGAGCAATATCAACAAATTTTTCAAGGATAAGGGCATCTAAAGCAGGAGTATGATTACGTAAACGATAACCTAACATTGAAACAGCTAAAGCAGCAATCTAAAAAAACCATAAATTTAGACTTAAAAAACAATAATAATGCTTAAAATGTTTGATTTTAATATATATATATATATAAAATAATACATTATCATCTTTCAATATACAAACAACTCCAGTAACTGTACAGACAATGTTTTCAAAGATTTGTTGACGTTGTTCTTCAGTATGTGAGGTGCTACTAATAGAACTATAGACTGAAATGGTGTCTGAGGCAAGAGTAGAAACTGGAGTGAGTGAATTTTTTGAAGATACTGGCGATAAATCATGACCACCCGATTGAAGTAATGTCAAAAGGTTGTAAATTACAGATCTAGATGTATCACCATCAACAGCCTAAAATATAAATTTAAAAGAAATCAAAATAATAATTCTAATTTGAATAAAACATTTGTTAATATCAAAAAAAATTTATCATACCTTAAGACAATGAGCTAGACGAACAATTGCATATTCAAGAATTGTAAGATTTTTATCAACAGTTACTGCCAATTCAAATATAGTTGATGGAGTTATTAAAAATTTTCGGACTAATTGAATCATATTTAATGTAGTCTGTGGAAAACTGATTCAAATAAATAAATATAAATATATAAATGTATATTTGTGTGCCAAGTTTTCACCATTTTTAAAAGGCTAATAAATCAAAAATAATTTTTTTTTTACAAACTTTAAAGCAAGAAATGTTGCTGCATCAAGTGCTGCCACTTGAACTTTTACATCTGGAGTCTGTGGAACATTAAATAATGAGGAGGTGAGTTTACTAATTAATTCATCATCAAATTCAATGAGACAAATGCTTGCTAATGCTGCTAAATCCTTTGAACAATAATTAAAAAAGTTAAGAAATCATGTGATTGAACTATAAAAAAGCAACAAAAAATGAGGCAAAGCAATTTAACTTACTAAGCTAACAGCCATAATTTCTCTTGCATACAAAGATGGCAGACAATCATTATCTTGAGCCACCAAATTATCTAATAAATCTTTTAACTCAGAAAAATATTGTAATGACATTACATAGATTCTTCTTAATGTTTTTTTAACATAATCAGCAATAGGTAAATGATTTTCAGCTTTTTGATTTATTAATATGCTCCATATATCATTGAATGACATTAAAGCCATTGTATATTCAGTATATTTCTCAGTAAACATTGAACGTGCCAATACACTTTTCAATAATTTAGTTACATAATATAACAGTCCATTGCCAGAAATTGGAAATCCTTGATTCTGATATCTTGATAAAAACCTTTTTACATATATGTGATGTGATTCTGAAGATTTTAATATTGTTTCTATAATCTGTTGAACTTCTTGTAAAGTATCATTGTCAATTATGGTTTGAGTTTGATGGGCGAAATATTCAAAGTCTTGAAAATGCCATGGATGATGTGAACTTTCAATTGAACGTAACAAACCATTTAATATTGGTATAACAATAGTACATACATGTTCAGCTATCTCATAAAAGAAAGGATATATAAAAATTTGTAATCTGTTATAAAATATATAATTAATAAGAGGAAAAAAAAAGTACCATTTTGAGTCTTTAACTCTGCGCCCAACTTTCCAAGAAGAGAGAATACTTCTTTAGTAATTAGTTCACATTTTGATTTTTGTTTACTGCAAATAACAAATAATTCATGTGTAAGATTATATGAAAGTTGCTCAGGTAATGAATAATCTATAAATTACAAAATTACAGATTTATCAATTGAACATTGCAATAAAAAATCAAATTTAAAAATTCACTTTGCTATTGTTTTTTTCTTTTGTTACCTTTCCAGGTTAGATTTTCCTCATATGAAAATCTAGCAAGATTTTTTAAATAATTCAAAAGAATTGGAAGAATCTCATCAACATAGGACTCATTTGTAGTAATTGATGCAAAAAAAGCTAATGCAGAAACATCTTGAAAGAGCGCTTTTGTCTATAAATTGATATATAAATATATTTTAGAATTATGTCTAAGATCAAAATTTCAATAGAATAAAAAAAAAAAAAAATAGTACCATCAAACCAGCTTTAAAATCCAAATTTTCACTTTCTACTTCATCCTTATTTATCATTGGCATCATTGGCAAACATCTTTTGATTAACTGTGAAACTTCTTCTTTGGTAGTTTCTGGATCAGTACCTAAAACATTTGATAGTTCATCTAGTATTATTGCATGAAGATTTAGCTCAAGGCTGATCAAAAAAATTCAAAATTAGATCATTCAAAAATTCTGAAAATGTAATGAATTTAAATTAATTCAGCCATTACCTATTCATTTTTAAACTAGCAGTAAAGATTTCTATTTTATGATTTTTAAGTTTGAAATATTCAATTATTAAATAATAGTGGAGGAAATTGAGTCGGGCGTTCGTGTTACATTAAAGGTAGCCGATAATCTATTTGCAGGATTTGTGCAGAAATTTTGTGTAACAAAGTTAAAAGTTAATTACAGAAGAGTGGGAACTCTCTAAAATTTTATTTGCGCATTCTTTATGTAACATAAACGCCTGCACTCAATTTCCTACGCTGCATGCATATAATCGAAAAAGAAAATTCAATGCCTAAATTTTTATTAAGGGCATTATGCTATTATGCAAACAACATGACAATAAGCATTATACATTAATTCAGTTGAATTTTTAAAGTGCTTGATTAAATAAAATATCATGAGGATCTATATATAGTTTTGTTTAAAATAATGAATCTAATGAAAAATTTTATTGGTGGTAAATTTTACTTCAAAAGTGGATATACTCCACAATATGATGACCATAATAACTTTATCAAACTTCAAAGATTTAGTTCTTGGATTTCCCTGTAATCAATTCAAAGCTACTGAAGATGGTAAAAAAAAAAGAAACTAAATCATTTTTTGGAAGGGAAGAAATTGAAACATTTCTAGAATGATAAATGTCATTGTAACCTTTCCATCATTTGCAAAGCTTAAATATTGAGACTAAGTTTATAAATTTCTGGAGCCCAAATTAACAGGAGACATTAAATGGAATTTTGAAAATTTTTAATCAATTGTTAAGCAATGTTGTCAAATGTTAAAGTAAAACAAATAAAATTTTGTTTTGTTTTTAGCCTGCTGATATAGAAGACATCAAATCATATCTTTAATGTATATTTATAATGATTAACAAATAATTCAATTTCATTTTTTAGTCACAATTATTCAAACCAAAATAATGGTGGTTAAGCCAAGAAAACCCAATAGTGGTAATTTTGACAAAGAGCTTCAATTCATTACAAATCATACAAATCTCTAAATCTTTGATAATTTAATATTAATCTGATTAGAACCCTTTTAACAAATATTATATACATACATTAAAATTTTAGCAAGATTATATATTATGTATAATTAATATATTGATTTATATAAAAGTTATGTAGTTGAAGAGTTTTCTGATAATAATGCATCTTGATTAAATTGTTCAGATGATTGTTTCTAATATGATTAATTGGCAAGATAAACATATTTATTTTTATTGATTGTTATAATTATTTAAAATTTTTTAAAAAATTACAAATAAACAAACCAATTCCATTTGTTTTGTTGATTCTTTTCTTTTTGCAATTTTTTGTCTAAATGCTATACCTGATCCAATGAAACTATATGCTATATATATTTGTAATAACAATGATTAAAATTCTTGCTCTTCTTTTTTCAACAATAGTTAATACTAATATTTAAATTAATTATTTACCTGCAATGCCAACTAAACTAATAACCAAAGTTCTATGCACTAAATCTGAAATCTTTAAGCCAGTCATTTTTTTTTTATTGGAAAAAAAAATTCAAGTGCGACGATTATCAAAATTATGGTGCAACTATTACTTATTGATTAAAACCTCACGTGATTTTTACGTATCCCTCAAACAGACAGTATTAGTATTAAGAGGTTGCGGGAGAGAAAAAAAATTATTTTTTGGCAAATAAGATTTTAAAATTTCTAATTTGATTTGTTCTTTGTGGACTAAATCTAATCTTTGTGATTGGGAAATTTTTCTATAGATTCGTTATGAGTTTTAACAGATTTATTTATAATTTATAGATTTGTTTATTTTGAAATATAAGTAAGATCTGAAAGAATTGACTTTATTAAATGATTGGAAGGTGAAAAATGAATCAGAAAAAAAATAATGCAATTTATGAAATATGGATAGATGGAAATGATTGTTAATTCCACTTCACATTTACCTTGACAACATTTAGTTTCAATTGATCTTTATTCTTCATAGCAGATTTAATGTCTGAACTTAAACATAAATACAATTCAAGATCTTTATTTTGTTCTACCTTTTTTTTTAAAAAATTTAGAGAAAAATGAATCCAATCAAATAATACCTTGTGGATTATAGAATAGTACTTCTTCAAAAAATCATTATTTGTTGTTGATATAAATATACATATCCAATTTTTTCTCTATTTTTCTTAAAATTGAACTGGATAAATACATAATTATATATAATTTGGTTTAAAAAAAACTTTTTTGCAAGTCATATGATTTGGATGTGTATATTTGAAAAATATATCTATATATGTATATAAACATATTTATTTAACAAAATCTTTATTAAATAGACAAATTTATTATAATAAATAATAATTTAAATTTTAAAAGACATCTTACTACTGAATGGAATTATTTATTTCAAGATGTCTTAAATTCTTTTGGCAATAGAAACCAAGAGCATGAAATAAACAAAATTGAAATAAGAATAGTGATGGTGGTTTCTTAGAAAATCAATTTGATAGTTTGATGGGTATTGATTTAAAATATAAAAAGAACACCAACACAAAGAAAAAAGGCAATTAAAGAATCAGAACATTGAAAGACAAACAATGTTTATAATATTTATAAAATTTCTTTTGGTTCCACTGCAGATGATAAATGTTTAATTCCATTGAAACTTTGAAAAAAACTTATTACATATGAAACAAATTGCAAAAGATATTTATATTATTAAAAAATTTGATAAAAAACTTTTAGAATACATCATATGCATCATTTCCTCTAATAAGTCACCAAATAATAAGAAATCTGAAAAAATGCAGATTTGATTTCACAGGGAATGGATGGATGTCATACAGTTCAGGAATTTATAAAATTCTTGTGAACTAAACTCTTTAATTTGTCAATGTTATGACAATTTCCAAGTAATTATTCTTTATTGATAAAAGCAATTTTAAAGTTTAATGATCCTTATTTGATATTATCAGTATTTGAACAATCAAAATGATGTGGTATTGTATCATACACAATGGTTAATGTTTGCAATGAATTATTGAGAATTAGATGGAAATATTGGGATGATTTAGTTGGTATTAAGCATTTATTAGTGAAATTCATTCTGAATCTTCAAAAGTAGTCAATTAGACAACAAGTTGGATTATGAATATTCTAGAAAATTTGCAAATTTAGGACCGAGCATATAACTGTGATCAGCCCCAGTACTGTATGCATACTGTTGATCGAACGCGAACATGATATATAATAATAAAGAAGACATTGGGTTACACATGAATGTTTAAAAACTTTCTATAATAAAAGATGATAAAGTCCAATTCTAATTCACAATCGATCTGTAAGTAAAAAAATTTTAACATAAAATAGATATATATGTGCACAAAAAAATAATCATCATAATGTATTAATGTAGTTTTCCAACAACTTGAAATAAGTGAGAGTGTTAATTCATATAATAAAGCTCCTTTTATTCGTATGTTTGGGGTTACTGAGGTAAACAGCTAATAACTAATTATTTTTTTTTTTCATTTTGTGATAAAGTATAAAAATTTAATTGACAATTTTTTTGATATGTAGAATGGTAATAGTATTCTCTGCAATGTAAATGGATTTCAACATTATTTTTATATGCCAGCACCAAATGGATTCAAAAACGACGAAGTTGATAATTTTTTAAATACATTAGAGGTCTTATTTTTTTAAAATAATTTAAATAATTTAAATAATTTTCTTTTAACAAGAGTAATAGGTTTAAATAATTTTTTTTTAGGCAGCTGTAAGAAATGATTGTTTTTTGTCAAGAAAATCAATTATTAAAATTGAAATACAAAATAAAGAAAGCTTATGGGGCTTTCATGGAAACAAAAGGAGCCCTTATCTTAAAATTACATGCTTTGATTATAAATCATTATCGTCAGCTAAACATATCCTTTTTCCACTTTCGAAGTAGTGGTAGTTTTTTTTTTGAAAATTCTCATTTGATTTGTATATATATTCTTGACCACAATGTACGTCTTATAGAAGATGGAAAAATAATGTTTAATGGAAGATGCATTATCAGCACAACTTTCGAAAGCAATATATCATATGTTCTCAGGTTTATGATCAATTGCAAAGTAAGTTAAATATACTATATTTTTTTTTTTAAAAAACAATAGTTGTTTTAATAAATTTTTTTTTAGGTTACTGGGGCAAATTGGATTGAATTACCACCAAATACTTACACTATTCGAGAAGATTCACAAAAATCTTCAACTTGTCAATTAGAAGTGGATATAAAGTATTTTATTAAAATTTTTTTTTGATTTCTTTTAAATATACATTAAAGATTTTGTCATTAATATTAATTTTATTATAGATATGATAAATTTATTAGTCATCCACCTGAAGATGAATGGTTGAAAATTGCTCCATTACGTATTTTAAGTTTTGATATTGAATGTGCAGGTCGTAAAGGTATATTCCCAGAAGCACAAATAGATCCTGTAATTCAAATAGCCAATATAGTCACAATTCAAGGTTTGATTGATTCATAATTTTGATTTGATATCAATATATAAAAAAATCATATTTTTACATGTTATTTTGCTTAATTTACAGGTGAAAAAACACCTTTTATTAGAAATGTTTTTACATTGAATTCTTGTGCCCCAATTGTTGCAACAGATGTAATTGAATTTTCTGATGAGGCAAAAATGTTACAAGCTTGGAGGGATTTTGTCATTAAAGTATATTTAATACTATAAATTTTATCAATAAAAATTGTCTATAACAATAATGCTAAACTACTTACACTGAATAGGTTGATCCAGATTTACTTATTGGTTATAATATAGCAAATTTTGATTTGCCTTACCTACTAGATCGTGCTAATCATTTGAATGTGACAAAATTTTCTTATCTAGGAAGAATAAAAAGTATTTAATGAATTTAGAAGGTTTTTTAATACTTTTTTTTATTTTTAAAGACATATTAATACACACATATTTGTACATTATTATTATCATAATTAGATGTCAAATCTGAAGCAAAAGATTCAAGATTTTCATCAAAAGCATATGGAACACGTGAAAACAAAATAACAAATATCCTTGAATTAATTAAAAAACTGCGATATTTATATTTATTAATATATTAACACTTAATGAATATTTTACATATTGAAGGAAGAATTCAATTAGACTTGTTGCAAGTTATGCAACGTGAACATAAGTTAAGGTCTTATACATTGAATTCAGTTTGTGCACAATTTTTAGGTATTTGGGATACATAAATCTATTTCACTTGTTTGGATGGTTTATGATGCAAATTAAGTTATAATTAATTTAGGTGAACAAAAGGAAGATGTACATCATTCAATAATTACAGATTTGCATAATGGAAATGAAGAGACACGGAGACGGCTAGCTGTATATTGCTTGAAAGTTAATTGATACCAATTTTAAATAATTTTACATACTTATATATACATGCATGTTTTTTCTGATGTTAAAAATTTTTATTATAATCAATCCCTTTTAGGATGCTTATTTACCTCAAAGGCTTATGGATAAATTAATGTGTTTGATTAATTACATGGAAATGGCTCGTGTGACTGGGGTTCCTTTTAATTATTTATTATCTCGTGGTCAACAAATTAAAGTTATATCACAGCTTTTTAGAAAAGCACATGAAGAAGATTTAGTCATACCAGCTTTAAAAACAGAAGGTATCAAATTATACATTTTTGATTTTTTATTAAAACAATAATATTTAAATTTTAAAATTTTTACGCATAGCTTCCGATGAGCAATTTGAAGGTGCAACTGTGATTGAACCTTTGAAAGGATTTTATAATGTTCCAATTACTACTCTTGATTTTACTTCTTTATATCCATCCATTATGATTGCACATAATTTATGTTATACCACATTGTTGGATAACAATGAGATTGAAAATCTAAAATTAAAGGGTGATATTGATTATATAACAACTCCACAGATCAATGGTACATTATTATAAAAAAAAGTTTTATTTTTTTTTATGCATCATTAATTAAAATTCAATTAAAAACATTTAGCTCGGTTTGTAAAAGCACATCATCGCAAAGGACTTTTGCCAACAATTCTTGAAGATTTACTTTCTGCACGTAAAAGGGCTAAAGCAGATCTCAAAAAAGAAACAGATCCTTTCAAAAGAGCTGTGTTGGATGGACGTCAATTAGCATTGAAGGTTTATATATGTTAATTTTAAATTTTTGTCACTAGAAAAAATCAATCAATAAATAAATTGATGTTATATATAGATAAGTGCAAATTCTGTGTATGGATTTACTGGTGCAACAATAGGTAAATTGCCATGCCTAGAAATTTCTTCTAGTGTTACTGCATATGGTAGAGAAATGATAGAAAAATCAAAGGCGGTGAGTAGTTTATATTTTAAATATGTATGTATGTATATAATTATAGTTAATAAATAATCTTCTATTATAGGTAGTAGAAAGTCATTTTACAATTGAAAATAATTACAAGCATGATGCTGTT